GACGAGTTAAAGCACAGCCCTATGAAGCTGTCTGCAGCCACTGCAGCATGAGTTCGATTCTGGCCAGGGAGATGACCCACAAGGTACAGCGGACCTCTCCTGTCTTGCCGGCTGCTCCCCTCAGCAGGGTACTCTGTTGATCTGCCTGCTCTGCTCCCCACTCTGTCTCTGGTGAATCCTCTCCCTCCCCCACTCCCCCACATCAGTGGCCTGTACCCACTCCTGTATGCATAAATAAATAAATCTTTTTAAAAAGAAAAAGTGAATATCAATTGCATCCCCCAGAGGAAGTAGGGGGGATTAAAAATAATAATAAGAAGACAAAACCTCTAAGACTTTAATACAATTAATGTGCAACAAAGAAAAGACAAAGAAGAAAGTTCCCAAATCCAGCACCCAAAGGACTCTCCTCTCATGGGCAAACGCAGAGCCAAAGAGGTTTGGCCCAAAGCAGGGCTAATGAGGCCTGAAAGCCCACCACACAGCTAAAGCACCTTCTGTTAGGGACTTAATGAAAAGGGTCAGCAATGGTCAGACGAGTCTGGGAGGAAAAGAACAACATCAAAATCAAGATAAACGCTGTTGCAGTCATCTCCCCAAGGGTCTCTCACCCACATCCGTGTCACCCAGTCCAGGGCCAAGAAGCAAAAGCTGCTTCTCCACGAGTCTCTGCTCCCTGTGGCTCCCTCAGGTCCCCTTCAGACTCCATCCTGCTTCCTTCCTTCTCCCACTCACTTCATCGTCCCCCTCTCCCTGCTCAGTTCCAACTTTCCTTGGGTGGAACAGGGAACCTGGAACCTTCCCTTTTCTTGGGGATCCCGCTACAACTCCAGTCCCTGTAGGGTCCCTGCGGAGATCCTCCCCCAACCCCCACCACTGAGCAGATAATTGACAGAAAAATCAGCAAATAGTGTTTGACATCTTGTCCTTGGGAGCTATTTGCGAGGATCCATGCAGCTCCTGGCATCAGAGATAATGTTTTTTTTCTTTCTCAACATTAACCTCCAGCCCAATGCAGTGCTTCCAAACCAATGAGCCTTTCTCCAGGAGCTTGCTGGAATTCTCCAGAAAATCACCTTGAACAGAATGTCATGGTAGCTACTGCTCACGAAGCCCTCTTGCCAGGAGCCAGACATTGCCTAATGGAGAAAGAATCCACCTTTTCCAATGGGAAAATAGACGGAGAGATGGAGACATTTGAGTAGGTCACAAGGTTAACAAGTGACCAAGTGGGCTGTGGGCCAGGATGGCCGGAGGCCAAAACCACGCTCTTGGCATAAACTGGCTTCCAAATTCCCTCCTCACACAAGGTACCTGTGTGCCAGCAAGGACCCAGCTCCCCTGCCAAGTCACTGGTCTTCCCTTTGATTGAACATCAAATAGCAATTACCTCCACAGATACCCAGAGGACTAACTGTCGGCCTTAATTACAAGTTACTCTTGCTTCACTCCCACCCAATAATCACCACCTCACCCTCCATACTCAAAATCTGCCATCTCCCTGAACAGACAGATGTGAAATGCTTCTTCTGGAACCAGTTCTCACTCACACCCCCTGAAAGATTGGGCACGGAGAAGAAGCATTTTGGGAGAGCATTAGGCACCAAGGCAAGCAGAGTTTAGCAGGGTTTATTTGCGCTCTCTCAGGCTGGCGTGCGAGGTTCAGGGGCTCAGAAGGAGGAGGGCAAGATGTTCCCCAGAGCTGGAGGGGGTGGGGCGTGTTATGCTGGTCAGTGAGCGTGAAGAATTGTTTTTTGGAGAAGAACATTTCCGGAAGTTGTTTGTTCAGTCACTGCTGAATCAAGGACCTTCCGTCCATTGCCCACACCCAGTTCCAGGTGCCTAAGGCTACAGATTCTGAAGTCTCAGTTCCCAGACCCGGAGGCCTGACACTCCCTCTTGCTGAGAAGCGGGAGGGCAGTTCCCTCCAAACGCCTGCCACTGTGCAGGTCTCAAACAGCCCAGGGTTGGGTCTTTAAGGGGGGTGTCAGCCACAAACGGGGAGGAGCTTGTACAGATTCAGCCCTAAATCTGGGAAGGGAGAGCTGTGAGCTGGGGTGGGGAGGAGAGGAGAGAAGGGGGGTCCTGTCAGGGGTACCGGGCAAGCCAAGGTGAGGGTTCTGTGGGGCTGTCAAGGACAGGACTGCACAGCACTCACCCTAGATGGACATGTAAAGGACATTTTAAATCTCAATTTCATATTTGCTCATTTATTGACCAGAATATTATTCACACTAACAAAATCTAAAAATTCAGGCGTTGGGGCCTCTCTGATGGCACAAGGGATTAAGTCTCAGTGCAATCACAGTACTGCTGCCGGCCACTTGCAGTTAGACTTCGATGCCGGGGCAGGGAGTGACCCACAGGGCCCAGCAGACCTGTCCTGTCTCCCCGCTGCTCCCTCAGCAGAGGATTGCAGTAGATCTGTCTGTTCAGCTCCTCACTCTGTCTCTGGTGAATCCTCTCATCACCCCACACCCGCATCTCTGGTGTACCTCAGCTCTTGCATGCATACATAAATAAAATAAATTTTTTAAATGTGGGTTTTATATTGTTCTTTTATGTCATTTTCATAGTACAAAGGATAAGATGTGAGATGGATGGGGAAAACGTCTTCCTTGAGCTCAGCGATTTTTTAAAGCTCCTCACAGTATTCAAGCAAGCAGGAGTTGTTTTCCAGTCCTTTAACCATTTTCCCATTAAAATCTAGCGAAGGAGGGAAGCTGGGAAATCATGGGAATGAACATTCTGGATGAGATGTTTCTACGCTAACAGTTGTCTTGACAATAAAGAGAATCCCTTAAAAGTCCTAGACCTTTATGGCTTTGGCCTAAAGGCCAAAACTGTAAAAACTACTTCACAGATAGTGTAGCGACCAGGGAAATCCCGTTTTTTTTTTTGTTAAGAGCAGTTCTGCACGTATCCAAGGTCAGAACTGCCCAGCCAGTCAGCCATCGGAGCCAAACCACACAAGTGCCTTTCAAACCAGCCAAGAGCTTAAAGCTTGATCACCCTGAGAAGGGTGTGCACCAGGAGGAACATGGGGTACGGGGTGGGGAGGGGGGCTGACCGACTGATGCATAAATGTACTCCCAAATTAGCATCACAAGGTTTGACCAGGGTTGATGGGAGGGTGGGGGGTGAGTGTG